GGGGGAAGGGGGGGGGGGGGGGGGTCATCCAATCGCACGTGGTATCATGCTTGTCTTACTCTCTGTTATTTAGACGCGCGACGAGGGGTTCGCACCGGTACTTGTTGCTTGTTGTTTCTGCTCTCGATCTACGTTTTCGAGGCTGGCGATTTTCCGATGTTCAGTCACGTGTACACATGTCGCAGCAGTACAGTAGCCGCTGCTGTTGTGACATGTGATATGCGACAAAGTCTTCCAAATACATTGCACCGTCTTCATTTTCTTCCGCTGTTGTGCATCCGTTCCATCATCCCATGCAAAAATCAGACTACAAAAAAAAAAAACACCACAGGGCAAAACAACTCACGTCCTTCCACTGCGTCCAGAAAGTCTCCCGGTTGAGGACGACCTGCAGCATGCTAAGGTACTCCTCGCCCCGGGGCGGCGTCGCCTTGACCAGTCTCTTCGCGAGCTCGATGCGAGGTTTGAGGTCCTCCACCGAATTCTGGGCGGGGCGAGGGGGGGTCGTGAGGAAGCAGTGGCATTCGGCACTTACAGAGTGTCATCGCCAGCATTGAGTGCCTGGTTGGGTTTGTCTTGTTTTGGGTATTGTCAGTTTTGGGACGCAATACCACACTGCCGCGCTCCTCACAATCCATACACTGCAAGCGTTGGAGAGAGTCACTGTAAAGCCGGGTTGAGAGGATTGTACATGTTTAAACGTTTGAACGGCGTCGCAACATACCAGTACGGAATATGTAGCATACAAAGTACAATATAATAATAGCACCAGATCGGGTGTAATATAAATTTTGCTGTGAGGGAAGTGGTCTATCAATGTATATAGTGCTGGGTGTGTTTGTTTCGGGTATATTGGGCATTTTGAGTTTTCGGACGCAACACATGTACGTGGCACTGTAAACAACATATTTCGCCGCAGCCCTATCGATTCACCCTCCAAGCGAGTCGTCCTCCAGAATAAGAGATTTGGAAGGGAATCAGTCGTCCTAAATCGAATAGCAGTATAATTCACAAAGAAAAATAAGAACGAGAGGTTACCCCCCCCATGTGCGAACGAACAGAAATAAGAAAGAATACCATACGAAAAAAGCAGTACGTTCGAAACCAGACAACAGGAAGCCATTACCGCAGCAATGATTGTGAAATTCAACAAAATAAAACACAAAAAACGACAGCAGCAAGAATGAACATTGCGGAGTATCTCTCACCGGGGAGTCCTTCGCATTTGCCACCTTATTCTTGAGGGATGCGGCGAGAATCAGCCACTGCGTCAGCACCTGGGTGGGTGGCGGCAGCGGAGAGAGGGGGGGGGGGGGGGGGGGACTCTTTCCTTTCTTGCCTTAATCATGGGACCCTTGACCCCCCGTCCCTTTCGAAG